CAGTCCAATAAGCATATAGCAGGGGAGCCTCATGCTATGCATTATAGATCAGGTATCATCTGTCTGGTTTGTCTGTCTGTTTCAGAGGTTACAAACTACAGGAAGCTTTATGAAGATGGAGTGATGGGGTGGGTGGAACAGCTTGAAGATGTAGATTTCCTCTACTGCTTGCGCTGTATTTCCAACTTTACGACGGAATTTCTTTAGTTCTCCACTTACTGGGCCTTCCTTAAAAAAGCATTCTCCTGTTTACTGTTGAGTGTAAATGTTTGTCTCACCCCATGTCTCATTCTAATCAAATTTCGCCCTTTATTTTATGTTCTTCGATTTTAGTTCTTTTCAACTACTCAATGATGAGATGGTACTTGTTTTATTGAAAGCTCGCTAGGAACCCTCGTGAGACTTTTATGATCACACACACGATAAACACATGGCATCATTAATCTGCTACACTGAATATCTCACAGTCCCGCATCATCGCTGTAAATCAGAACGGTGTTGCTGCGAAACGGAGAGAGAAAAAATACGAGCGATCCAGCTGTGGACTGTTGGGAGTCTGTGCTCGTGTGAAAGGACACAAAGCTGAGGCCTTTGCAGCACCTTTGGACCAATCCATCCTGCCGTTAATGGGGTGCCAGAAGCTTTCAGCCCCAACAAAAGTCACGCCTCACCGCTCACCAAAAACCACCGAGCTCTAGCTTACACTGACTCGACAGATTTCCTGACCTCCACAGGGTGGGATCGAATACTCTCGCTCCCCACAGCAGGAGAATATTTGCCACCTGGGATCTCCCCGAGGCAGCTGGCCAGGCCGGCTGGCTGGAGGCGGTTGTTCCTGTTAGTCTGGTCGACAGGGGTATGAGCACGCCTGTGCCTCTTCAGCCGACGGGACTTTTATTCTCAGCGACAGGTTACCCCACCCCACCTCCTCTCAGAAGAGCCACGACGCAGAGGCCATGACCTCCGGGCCTGAAATTCAAACTCCTCATAAAAAGAGTTGGGGGGGGGGGGGGGGGAAAGGGAAAACACCCTCTTTCTTTCTCTTTATCTTTGTTGTCTTTCTTTCTTTCTTTTTACTTTCTGTTTACTTAACGCTGGGTCAGTCGAGATGACGATAAACACCCCCGTTAACGTTGGGTTCCACGTTCTGCCAGTTTACCTTAATCTTTTGTGTGACACGCCTATAGGTCTGACATGCTCAAGGACCACGGAAGGAGACCGAAGTGACAGAAATTGATCGATCGATTTTTAAATTACTTACAGAATTTAACAAGTTCCAGTAAATTCTTAAAATATGGTAGGGACATCTGTTAGCCATGTGACCATTTGATCTTTTCATTAAAGTATGAGGAGCTTCTCCAAACAGAAATTGTACCATAGTATCATCATTTTTTTAAACTAAATGTATCCACGTAATAGGGATGGTTTACATTTTTTAACTCTTCCCAGCTTTCTTTGATTCTTTTGTTTCAGTCTTTATTGTTCACCTCCTCAGCTTTACTTATTCAGATAAGACAGAGTGACACCAATTTTACACTGCTGCTTACTCAGCTCATCTTCACAGTGTTTCGAATGAGTAAATAATACGATAAACCGGCTGGACACCAACTTTGCCACTACAGTTACCGTAGAGTTACCAACAACATCTATTTCCTGTTTGCCAACATTGAAGGATTTTTGCTGAGGAGTTTGAGAAATGTTTGGCTCTGACCCTCAGATTTGATCTCGGGAGAGGAAAAGTCATAACAAAGTTGGAGGTTTGGAAGAGGCCCGAGGAAGAAAAGTTACCTTTGGACTGAAAGAATAATAACAACAGAGGAGAGACGGCGAGGAGGGACAGTCGGTGACCTGTTCCTTCATTGAAGAAACTGGAGAAAGCGTGTAGGGAATGAAGGGATACCCTTTAACCCTCCTTCACATCACATCTGGAGGAGCACGATGACTCACTGCTCACTTTTTCTGTCTCCCTCTAGCATCACCAGCAAAAATCAAAACACCCACCTTCTTCTCTCTCTCCCATCCTGACCTCAACTTGGAGCAGCTCATCATCTTAAGAGACTCAAACCTGCACTCTGTATCTATGGAAACCTCTGTCGTATCCCAAGGGGGTGGCGGCACAGCATAGAGAGTTGACTTTCATCAGACACACACATGAAAAAAAAAAATCAAACAAAAAAGAGGGCGAAAGATCATATTCTCACATTAAATAATGTTCTCCTCATAAATTCACTTTTAATATTCTTGCAAGGAAATGAAAAATTCCACAACAGTCGTCATGTTACTTGCCAGAAAGGTGGCCTTGCTCTTGTGTTGGGTGGATGTGTGTGTGTGTGTGTGCGTGTGTGTGTGTTAGAGTGTGGGAGTGAATGAGTTTGTGTGGAAGATATATGTGTGTTTTGCTTGCATGGGGTTTAACTGTGGGTGTACAAACAATGTCATGCTGCAAATCCCTTTTACAATACTGAACAAGTTCCTCAGCATGGCTCACAGTGATGGATGATGTAGACACACTTCTTACAAACACATGCACTTCTTAAATTTTTTATGCCTGTCATTGAAGCTCTGCCATCTGCTCACTGCTGTACTTTCAGGAGTGATTAATTTTAACAACGGCATTTTCTTCACCGTCAAGTTCTTTTATGAATCAAAATTTGAATGTTCAGGGATCCAGATAATTTCCACACAACAGTCTAGATCTTGAATGATGCGGAAAAATACAGCATCGTAAAGTTTCTTTCAACAAGTGACAACCATTTTTTATTTTTAAAAATCCAAGCAAACTACCTTCTGTTGTTATTAAACTCATCCTTATCATCTGAGGGTACATTCCGGCATGTCAGGCACCTCAGCTGTGCGCATTGTTGCATTGTTGCTTGCTACTATAAATAGTGTGGTGGCAGAGAACTGGGATCCTCCCTGCATTTGTGTTTGTCTCAGCATGGAGAGTGGGCCCAAAGAAGAAAACTAAGGAGCTGTTTACCTAGCCTTTGTGTTCGGCGGGCCTCAGTGTTTGCCCTGCAGGGAGTGCCTCGGTTTGAAGGCCCTACCGGGTGTCCATGGGTGGGTGGGCGGAGTGAAACGGAAGAGAAGAAAAGGACTTACCTATCACTGGGAGACAGACATGTAAGGATGCTTGTGGTACAGTGGTCAGAGTCCTTCTTACAAGAATCCATCTGCTGGCTTTCTTTGCATGGACTTTAGGCTAGACAGCAGGTGACAATCTCTCACAGAGGCAAGAGATGGGTGTACTTTATCATGTATGAAAAGGCCGCAGACAATTTGTGTTCCTGGGCCAAAAAAAGACTATTCTAAAGGATGCAATTTTTTCTATGTGATCGTATTTAAATCGACCAGTTTTGTCAAAGAGGGTTAGGATCTTACATATACAGATGGACAAAGTATCCCATCAGGGTAGCCACGGTACTCTGTCTATTCACACTGTCTCCATATTCAAGTAAAACAAGAGTGAAACACTGGGCATTTATCAGTTCGGGAGTGTAAACACAGAAGGACAGATGTCTCTTGCTGGATTCTTCCACTGGAGCACTTTTACTGTAAACCTCCGTGACTTTTTTTGTATGACAGCACCGACCCCTCCTTCCCTACTTCGAGCAGCAGGAACAAAAAGACATCTGAGACATGTGGATGGGAGGACAATTCACAGAGCTTTGAGAGGCCGCCACTGCGCTCCGGTTTCATAAAGTCCCTGACAGGCGGAGCGGCGCGCTGTTTTTACGCATAGCCTCTGGTCCAACGAGGAATTCAAGGCGCTATTTAGTAGCCGAGTCGTACATTGCTGTAGAAGACGAGTCAGCGGTGCAGCCTATTCTATCTGGATACGAATTCTTAAATGATAAGATTTGTTTTTAATAGCCTGTGGATAAAGTCTAGATGCGGACAGCAGCTGCGTAAAGGCGTAACGCATGGTCATTTTGATCTTGGAGTAAGATATTTTGAGCAACCCTGCATCATATGTCTGCATGAATTCAAACTCACATCTCCTCCAAGCCAGTTGACACGTAAAAGGACAAGAAAAGAGGACTTCTTTCAGGTTTCGCACAATTCTGTGAACGCACAGACGGACTTGGACGTTTTGATACTTTTGTCGACCTTGACTTATTTTAAGAGACACGACGCACATCGTAAGGAATTTTCCTCGTGTTGATATTTATTCCTAAATTTGACAAGCTGTTTGGAGACAAGACTGAACAGGTTGCTGGAGGTACGAAGAGGGGAGTCGCGCCTGAAAAACTGGCTTCATTTGATCAGACGATGGTTAGACGTGAGTCACCAAAGAGACACAAGTATAATCAGGGTAAACATTTTTTACACTTCTGGCTGTTTGACTGCCTGTCCTCCCGCCTCTCTCTGCCGTTTTCTCTCTGTAGGGGTTGTTTATGTGGCCGCAAACAAACTCCTGAAGGCTGAAGTTTATTTTCCTCGACCTGGATAATACTACCGCCTGCAAAATGTCAAATTCAATGTATCACTTTGTCTCGCACTTCGCTTAAAAACATCAACATAATTAATTATCTTTTGTAAGCCAAAGTTTGAGCTGTGTGTGGGTATTAGTTTTCTAAAGTATGCTGATAGAATTGGAAAATGTGTCTCACGGTATCTTATTCGAGTTGCCCTAAAAAGAAGTCTAATAAAAATGTTTAACTACAAAACCTCTGTATGCTTTGGTGCGGTCTCACCAAAGGGTTAATGTTTCGATTTAAGACATTAAATGCAATGACTAGTTTAAGATCACGGGACATTTACCCAGTTCACCATCCACTCTCTTTTTTCCTGCATAGGGTGCTGAAACTGTGAGAGGCCTTGGTAGGACTGCTGCCACAGAAAAAGGCATTTTTGACCGCGCACAAAAGAGCCGCAGGAGGAGGCGCCTCTCGCATAGAAGCCGCATCGCTTGTCGATGGATTCTTCATGTTTGCCTCAATCCCTGCGAATACAGATTGTTCGGAACGTTTGCGAACCGTGACAACACGTTGCCAAACATGACGCAACGCAGCGTATGGATAGACCGAATCATGAGCGGAACACAACGTGGAAGAGGCGGCTCTTCTGCCCGCTTCGGTGCGCTCTTGGAGCGGAATGCTCACGGGACAGCAGGTAAGGCGCAATTCCAACTCTTTCAAATTACAGGTATTGTAATCCGTGCCGACCACACGGTCTTTTGTGATATTAGAGGAGAATGGTTTTTGTGCGTAATGTTGCCCTGAAAGCAGACTTGTGGTTCTGACGACTTGTTTGCTGTGACAACAGTGGCACGATTGTTTGATATTTGATTTCCTTTCACTTAAGTGTTTTCTGTATTTGCTGAACTGAAAAGCTATCTGCACGCACCTGCCAGCTGCCTGGGGTTTTTCAGACTTCAGGTCACTGTGACCTGGATTTAGCAGAATTCAGTTTGGTGGTAAATATAGGAAATGTTTGCTTGATTGGATCATAAAGTCAACTTGTTCTCTATCTATCTATCTATC